GAGGCCCCCCCAGTGCCCAGGGCGTTCCTGATTTCCGTGGAGCCTGGGGGTAGAAAGCTCCAGGAAACAATTCAGCACTGCCACTCTTGTCTACAGAAAGGAAAGGGGGACTTGCTGGACTTCATCTCTCCCCACCTCTTACCTGGGAGGAGTTTTCGGGCTGCCTCCTCAGCCATCCTCAGGAGCGGTCCAGAGCACGGCCATCCAGCCTCGACTTCCACCCCAGCCTTCTTTGACAGTAGGTGAGCCGACAGGAGGCCACCTACCACTAGAGACAATGCCAAAAGCCAGGGTCACCATCCCCAGAATGGAGCCTTTTCCTTTTCAACACTCGGGGGCGGGGGGAGGCTCACTGGGAAGGGGCGAGAGCCACCGAATGAAAGAGGAGCACCATGACCTGATCATTTGTGCAGGGCTACGTTTAAAAACGTCTTCTCGAGGCGTGTCTTGAACGACTGCCATCATTCCTCTTGAGTCTTTACTGTGCACTAGGCTAGTACACAATACCAGTAACTACAAGTGGGATTTCATTGAATCTCAAAAGCCTTATCAAGTAGGTTCAGAAAGGTACACTGACTTGCTCCGAGCCAGCTATCTCATATCTCATGTGTCTGACTACAAATTCCCCTTTATCACTCAAGACTCAGGTTGGGGAGTGGGGGGAAGTAGTTATTGCCCTCGTTTTATTCATTTATCTATATTACAGCATCACACAATTTTAATGATAACAAAATCAGTTGCCATTGAGTTGACCCCAACTCATGGTGACCCCATAGGTTGCAAAGGACTGATCGAGAGGGGTGTCAAGGCTATGGCCCTTATCGCCAATCCTTTCTTAGGAGGAGCCTCTGGGTGAGTTCCAACTACCAACTTTTAGGGTGGTACCTGAGTACTTAGCCATTCGTACCACCCAGGTACATCGAAACATAAAGATGGAAAGCAAAATGTACTCTGGATGAAGAGCAGCCACCTTGCCCCCCCCACCCCCCCACCCCGCCCCACAAAAAAGCGAGTGTCAGAAATAAAAGTGTTAAGAGTGAGCTTCGTTTTAACAGGGGACAAATGGGCTCAGAAGTTGAGTCACCCAGAAATTGGCATGACCCCAAACTCACGTCTGATTCCTAAATCAGGATTTCATGTCGTGCTGTCTCCTTACTTTCTCCTCTTTTTAAACTTTTATGTATCATGTACACGTAACACAAACTATACGGCAGAAAACATGAGTGGGGCGGGGAGAGACATTATCTGTCATCCAGCTTCAAGCTATTGGTCTTCAGGTTCACCGTGAATAAGCCCTGTGCCAGCGTCCCAAGAATCACCTGAAACCTGCGAACAATATTGATTCTAGGACCCCAACCAGAGACCCCGACTCATAAGGCTTAGAGTGGAGACTAGATATTTGAACTTTTGTAAAGCTCCCAGTGGTTCTGATGGGTAGCCATATTTCAAAAAGAATGCCCTAGATTTACCCATTTGAATACATGAAGCACTAACGACAAAGGACTACTTACATTTAAATTCATTAAAATTACAATTCCGTTCCTCAAAAATAAAGATAGCCCAGTTGCTGTGGAATCGACTCTAACTCATAGCAACCTGATAAGGCCAGGTAGAAATGTCCCATGAGGGTTCTGAGACCATAAATCTCGACGGAAGCAAAGTGCTCCCTTGTTCTGCGGGACTAGCTGGTCGGTTCCATTGGGCAGCCTTCTGGTTAGCAGCTGGGTGCTTCACCACTGCGCTACCAGGGCTCCTGAGGACAGTTACTCTAGACACATTACAAATACTCCACAGCGGTATGTGACGAGTGGCTACCACTACATCTGGACGGCACAGAGAGAAAATGCTTCCGTCGTTACACGGGTTCTAATGCACAGCATTTCCTAGGCGATCAGGCCGGGATTCGTTCTTTCTTGTGCACAGTTGTATGCCTAGCACTGAATATCTGTTAAAGACATGAGTAATTGTGACATATGTCGTTCCAGTCTTGTCTCTGTCCTCTGCTTGCTTGCATGTCTGCAGGTCATGGTGAACCCTGAGAGCACCCTCCCACAGCCCTGGTGAGGGAGAAAAGGGCTCTGTCTATCATAAGGTGACCAGACGTCCCGCTTCTGAACAATTTTTCCCACGTTCCGTGGTGTTTTTTAAAAAGTCCCGATTTTTGGAAAGAATGCACGACAAGCTAGGTTTTCGGCTGTCATGTGGCTATTTCTCCAGGATATGAGTTTTATCAATGGTGTCCCGCTTTACCAATGTTAAAATCTGGTCACCTTATACCAGCCACTGGCTTTGGCCAAGAACCCTGGCAGGGTTCTCCCTAACGCCCTACTAATCCCCTGTCAGTTTGCACAGAGGAAAGACCACATCCTGTTTTCTCCCAAAGTCCTAGAAGAGAACCCTCACCTCGGATGTTAGTTTCGAACACGGAGGCGTTCACGTCAATATCAAAGTCCACGTTGTCCTGCAGCACATCAACCACTCTCTGAAATTCTGAGACATTCCCCAAAATCTGGAAGGAAAGGGAGACCTGACAATGAAGCCTCTCAAAGGCACGGAGGGCCAGAGTTTGGAATCCTAAGCGAATGTGACCCTCACCTATTCAACTCACCACCTCCAGTTGTTGTCCTAGGACTGGGAGTAGGGGAAGAAACCACCAGCCACCCAGAGACCCACCATCGAGGGACCTGCGAAGCACATTCGTATGGGCCAATTCAAGAGCCATCTGTGCCCATTTAAATGGATGCATTATAAAAACCATAGTCTCGATAATAAAACCCTGGTTTGGTCTTTGCAGTAGACAGCTATTGTTTTTAACCTTCGCTTTATCACATTTATTCTTGTGGGAAACATGAGAGGTTGGTTGGGCTAACACGAAACCTTCTTTACCCTTGTGACCTCCCACCATCGGGGCTGGGAATTCGGACGCTTGCTTTCTCTGCCACCTCTGAAGCTAAAGGGATTGTGCTACCTAGGGACGAACTTCGAGAAGGCTGGTGGGGAGACTTTTAGAAAAGCTTGTTTTCTTCATGGAAAAGAAGAGATACTGCTGTATTGGCTTTTACCCTGCTTCCTCCCTTTGGCCTCAAATATAGATTCATATATCCAAGCATGTGAATGAGAACCGGCTAACTAAGGAGAGTTGAAAGAGTGAGCCTGGGTCTGATGGTAGGTTGCGTGGCTGACCCAGTGCCTACCATGATCTCCAGACATTCTGCTACTTGAGAAATTTGTCTTCTTTGTTTAAGTCATCATATGTCAGGCATGTTGTTAATTGCAGCCAAATGCAATTCTAACAGCTTTCCTCTGGTGATAGAGTCCTGATTTTCCTTTAGGACATCAACCCTCTTTCACAGTCACTCGTATGCTTTCCTATCTGTCCCATGAGACTAAGTCCTTCCCTCCTGCTGTAAGAGTGGGCACTTGAACCGGATCAGCCAGAGTTCCAAATCTGCTGGCCAAGTGATTGATTCAGGGTTGGTGTGTATGACCCATACTAGGTCATTCAGACTCAATTCTGGGATTTTATCTAGAATTAATGGAAAAGGTGCTTCTTTACACACAGTTTACTAGATGAATTGAATTGAAGCCTGGAACCGCTATTGGCTACCATGCCAGTGTAAGGAGAGCCAGAAAGCAATTAAAGAAGAAATAAGATGGAGAGAGAGAGAGGGAGAGAGAGAGAGAGAGGGCATGCAGGCCGTATCGGACCTCCTCTAACTTAGCAAGGAGGAAGGATAATAAAAAATCAACAGCCCAAGGCAAATTCCTAGGAGGCGGATATCAGATGTGCCTCCATCTTCCAGCCTTTTGACCAATGGCAACGCCAACCACCCCTCCCACAGCACTCTGCTTCTCTGCTGGGCTCAATAACTTGTTGTAATGACCAAACAGAATGTATAAACCATGCCCACAGCTACGGGGTTGATTAGAGAAACAACAGGTTACATTACCACTTGTCTCTCAGCCTGTCCTACTATGGTGGCTTGTGTGTCTCTATGACAGGGGAAGCTGTGCCACTGGCATTTCACATACCAGCAGGGGCCCCCAAGGTGCACAGGTTTCAGAGGGCTTTTGGATTAAAAACAGACTGGGAAGAAGGAATAGGCTGTGTCCACTCTTGAGGGATTAGCCACTGAACACCTTATAAATAGCAAGGCATCACTGTTCAGATGTAGCGTCAGACTATGAGCCCCTCGGGTGGGAAGGCCCTGAAATTGTGTATGATCTGAATGGAGAAACATTTCAGGGCTCCATCTGCTGATGATGTTAGGTAGCTAGATTGAGGGACAGGGGAGACAGGTCTCCCCATGCCTGCAAAGGCCCACAAAGAGGGGTTGGAAAGATATCAGGTACAAATTGAACACCTATGAGAAGACCCCAAACTGAGCATGCACCGGCTAGGCCCTCCTAGGCCCAAGTAACACCAATAGCTTGGGCACGCCCACCTTAGGTACATCACAGGTGGACCTAACTCAGCCAACGAAGTTAACCGATACCTTCAACCACGCCTCCTCAGCCAGAGGGGTTAAAAGCTGGCGGGGAGGGGGCGCTGTCGGTGGGCAATTTCTCTTTCTCTCTTTCGCTCTGGTCTTGTGGCAGGGTGGGTGGGTGAGCAGAGCGTACATCGGCTGTCCTGAGAGCAGCCTGGAGGGGGCAAGCCCTGCCTACTACTTGGGGCCCACACATGCTTGTGCTCTCCTGGTCTCTTGCTCTCTGACCTCTTGCTCTCCGGGGATTCCACAGTTCCGCACCTGTGGGTGTTCCTTTCCACGTGGTTTTTCCTGCCCAGTAGTGAACCCCAGCACAGCTTCTGTGCGGCTTGGCACGCTTTCCAGAAATAGCGTGTCCCCTTTTGAGACTGTAAAACCTAGAACTTTTCTGTTCCTTCATAAAAACTCACTTGGATTACCAAACGTGCTTCGGCAGGAATTCTTTCCGTGTGTAACCGAGGCACAACAGGCTCCAGAACCCTAACAGTGCGGATTGGCTCAAAATGAGAAGAGCTGCAAACATCCATCAATATTCAGAAAGTATCTCACAATATCATTTACATCACAGGCAAGTAAAATTTTGCTGACGATAATTTAAAAATGATTACAGTAGTACACTGACAGGGCACATCAGAAATACAAGCTGGATTCAATCATTTGAACCCTACTGGACATGGTACAAGGAATATCACTGCTGGTGGGAAACTGAGAACCAGGAAGAGAGCGTATGAGGGCAAATTCACTACACTCATATTTAAGGAGTCTGGGAGGCAGATTCTGGTGGAGGAAGGCCTTCAGGCTTGTGAGTTGAGAAACATCCCAGTCACATTCTCTTAATAAAAGTTGCTCCCCAGGGTGTCTCCCTAATAATAATAATGCCAATTTTAAGGTGCTGCTTGCAGGCACATGGTTGCTACTATAGGTAGGCTTGAAGGCTATCTGCCTGCAGGTTGTCTGCCATCAAGAGTGATCAGACCTCCACACCCTAAGTATGGCCCACTCCCTTCTGATACAGATCATAGATGTTCCCCTGGAGAAGAGCTCAGGGACACTTAAGTCAACCCAGCTCAGAGATGACCAAGGTTAAGCTGCCATCTTAACTCTAGAACCTGCCCACCTCGTTACATATGTACCTTTCTTGTTCCATGTCTGCCTCTAATACAACCCCTTCCTGTTACGTATGTGTATGACATGACTTGCTTGCCCGAGATTATATAAGCTTGTGAAAGAATACATTCGCCTACTCTCTCTGGTTCTGATCTTCATGGAAGAGGTGAGACCTTGTATGCCTTGTCTGATGTTTCTTTAATTTACCCTTCAATTGTGGGGAACCAACCTTCACAACTGAATGGGTCTGGTGTTAGATGGATCTTGACTGAAAGCAGAGAATACCAGAAAGCTGTTTACTTTGTTTTGTTGACTATGCAAAGGCATTCAAATTTGTAGACTATAATAAACTAGGGGTAACCTGGAGAAGAATGGGAATTCCAGGATATTTCATTGTGCTCAAGAGGAATTTGTAAATGGACCAGAGAACAAGAAAATACTGCATGGTTTAAAATCAAGAAAGATGCACAACAGGGCTGTATCCATTCACCACCCTTATTCAATTTGTGTGCTGAGCAAATACTCTGACAAGCAAATAATGAAGAAGAAGGCAGCATCAGGATTGGAGGAAGGCTTATAACAACCTGTGATATGTAGATGATACAACCTTGCTTGCTGAAAGGCTTCGCAGCCTTTGTATGGATTGTAACTCAATGTAAAAAATACAAAAACCCTCACAACTGGCCCAATAAACAACATCATAAATGGGGGAAAGATACAAGTTGTCAAGGATTTCATTTTGTTTGAATCCACAATCAATGCTCATGAAAGCAGCATGCAAGATATCAAAATTGCTTTGGGCAAATCTGTTCCACAAGATCTCATCAAATTAAAGAGCAGGGACGTCACTTTGAAGACTAAGGTATATCTGACCTAAGCAATGATGTTTTCAGTCACTTCAAGTGCATGCGAAAGTCGGACAACGAATAAAGAAGATTGCAGAGCAATTGATGCATTTGAATTATGATATTGGCAAAGAATACCGAAAGTACTAAAGAAGAGACCAATCTGTCTTGAAAGAAATACAGC